CAGCAAATGACTATGCTTGTCTGGGTTTGAGATTGCACATAAACACAAAACCATGAATTCACAATACACCATCCTGACGTGCTATAGGAAAAACCAGGATTGAGCGCCGTGCGAAGATCGGATGGACCTGGTTTGTCGATATCGAACCTACAATAAGATTTGCTAGTATTTTGAGTCGAGCATAGCGGTATACAGGATGAGGACTGGGTTTGTACCCTCTTTTGCTGATGACACTTCCTTCGGCCAAATCTTACTGATTAAAAGTGTGCGTTTGTTTTTCAACCCCCTTTAGCCGTCCAAATCAACACAAGTCCTTACAATTAGAAGCTCGCTTTCCTATTACATTTTGAGGGACCAAGCAAAGTCACGAAGGCACGTCCAAGCCAGCAAGTAGTTCCGCCGCAATTGCCGCCAGGACGGTAGCTGACCTGGTGTCCAATTCATTTATTCGCGTTGACGATGGTGTGCAAGTTTGCTTCGATATCAGATATAAGGAGGTGATTGTATGGACCACCACTTGCGAGGAACTGGGTATTCTATGAGAGCTGTGAAGCACTTCCGCACACTACAGGATTTCGATACAAATGTTGATGGAAAAAGCGGTGAGTGGTATTGTGCAAGCTGCTCGTAGAATTGATCAAGGGAGGCATCAAAGGCCTACTCTCGATAAACTTATAACACCCCCACTTGACGCCGTCGTCAACCGTGATCCAGAAACGGAATCCATGCCGAAAAGACGCAAAATTCGCAAGGAGGACAATGCACACACACCACAACTGAAGACTGACAGCTCAATTCTAGCGACAAATTTACATGGCAATGCAAGTCTGATAGCACACTTTGTTACACCCACGTGTAAACGGCGCTCGTTTCCAGCCCGACCGCACGACATCCTCGACACCAGTTCGAAATTGGCATCATGCTGAAACCCGCACCATTGTATGTAAGATCACCCAAGACTAGATACATTGGAACACTATTGCTGTGGTGTTCATACCGATTAACGATCGATGAAGCAAAGGAGGACGTAAACCCAGTCTCATTCTATGGTTTGATTGTGGCTGGAGTCCACGTCCTTCTTTGCTTCACCAATTGCCCGAGATTGGGCTTCTAATCTATGTAAGTCTTGCACGGTTACCCAGGTTCAAGCGTGTGAGGGCTTCTAATTGATGAGAGCCGGTACAAGCTGTTTGGCGCTGGAAAAAGCGGGTCTGAGGTCCAGTCATGTCCTATACAGATCACTTCCTTTGAGACTGGTACCATGAAACACCCTCCGCCTTTCATTTTGTCTCGACCACATGCTGAACAATGATAATGGTGGTGCAACGAGATGTCTGCTTTGGTGCTATGACCTGCCTCGAGATGAAACTTACAGAAGTAGACGAAAACGTGCCTTGCGGCTGATGAGTATCATACGTCGTACACGACCCTCGTGACAAGATCTGCTGTGGCATCGACCTTACTCAGCCGCACTCGAGATGAAGCCGCTATTCGATCGATGCGCGCAAGTCCGTCGGTCAGTGAGCTTCGCCAGCGCTGTCATTCCGGCCGCATTAGTGTTGTCGGCCTTGTTGCGTTGCTGTGTCCGCTGCGCACTCTGATGTACACGACAATTTCAAGGTTATGCTCTGAAGTCCGCCTCACGTAGCGACCGGGCAAAACTAAAGAGAACGCCGCGGTGCCACCGTCTGTTTGCTTTTGTGCCAGGGAAAATCGTACAAAGTGAAGGTCGCCGTGTAAGACTCGTTCGTTGTCATCAGGTCATGCTGAACGATTTCGTCTGTAGCGCAGCTTCTAGAACACAGAACCTTACCTCACACATTGTAACGTCATAATGTCCACTCATAGCACCTTCAGGGCTTGTGTCCTTGCGTAGGGCAGCGATGCCTTTACGTGGCACTTACGTGTACTATCAGCCGGGTCATCCTCGTGTTCAGAATGCTGGTCGCGTCGCCCACACGCAATGGACATCGTCCGACATGATGACGGACGCAATTGTCCGGATCTACACAGCAATCCATTATCTCTGAAAAAAGCGCTTATGAAACGCTACAAACAACACCGTCTGGGTCACTTTAGTCGACCGTAACGAGAAGCTGAATAGCACCGAGGCTGTTAAGGACTAGGACGAGTAGCCTGTTCACGTCCTATCATTGGATTACGATTTCGAGCCCATCGTATACCTCCATCTAATCATACGGGCTCTGCTCATGATGAGTTGTGAGGTTGAAGAAACGGCTTATTTGCTCTTTTTCTTGTCAACGATGCAGATTTGTATGCCCTGCAGTGTCGAGTGTATACACCACAACCAGTCCCTTGTATACACAAAAGGGCCGCCGTCACGTGCCTTTCACGCTTCGAAAGTGAGCTCACTACTCGATTTCCGACGATGCCGGCAGGCCAAACGTACGTCTCGACTGTCGCCGTTACATTGTTGTGCCAACTCTGATGCCGTACTTCGTGCTTTTTAGACTGCAGATTGGCGGACTGACGCGCGCTCTGGCCAAGCGTGGCTTGCGGTTTGCAAGCTCCAATGCTCTTGACAGCGTGCCGTATTACGACGTAGTGATAGCTGGCGGCAGCGTCATGGGCCTTTCGACAGCCTATCACCTTGCCGTCGCGGCCCCCAAGCTCAAGATCGCTGTCGTGGAGAAAGACCCCTGTGTACGTCGTTGTTGATACTAGCGCTGATCTGTACTGCGTATCTCCCACGTCACTCTTTCGTGCAACTGATAAGTCGCCTTGGTGATCCAGTACAAGTACGCGTCCGCTGTGCTATCGGCTGGAGGTATCCGCCACCAGTTTTCCGAGACGGAGAATATCGAGATGAGTCTCTACGGCACCGACTTCCTTCGCAATATTGGCTCAACGCTGAAGGTGAACGGACATGATGCTCCAAACGTGCAGTTTGTCGAGGGAGGTTACATGTTCCTTGCAAGCGAGCGTGGTGTCGATATCCTTCGCGAAAACTACGCCACGCAGAAGGCCACGGGTGCCGACGTGCAGCTCCTGGACCCCGTGGCGCTGAAGAAGCGCTTTCCGTGGATCAGCACGGAGGGTGTCGAGCAAGCTGTCTTGGGTGTGAAGGACCAAGGCTGGTTTGATCCCTGGGCATTCCTCAACGCCATGAAGCAAAAGAGTCTGTCGTTGGGTGTGGACGTGCTGAAAGGCGAGGTCAAGAGCTTTGACGTCGGTGCACAGAACCAGATCGAAAAGGTGCACATTGAGATGCCAAACTCGCCTACTGCGCACTTGAGTTCCGTTCGTGCTGGTGTCGTGGTAAACGCCGCGGGTTGTTGGGCGAGTACCTTGCTAGAAGCTTGCGGTGTGTTTGACTACCCTGTGAAACCCCGGAAGCGCTCCGTGTTTGCTTTCCACTGTGATGCGGAAGAAATCTGGAAGGGCGACGCTGCGACTCCGCTCGTGGTGGATACGAACGGGGTTTACTTTCGGCGAGAAGGCTCCGGTGGTCGCTTTGTGTGCGGGTGGTCTCCTGAATCTGAGGACGACTTCGACGGACAGTCAATAGACGAGCTGGACTTCCCAGATCACGAGTACTTCGAGGAGCAGATTTGGCCAACCATCGCTCATCGCGTCAAACACTTCGAAGCCGTCAAAGTTCTGAGTGCATGGGCTGGCTATTACGACTACAACACTTTCGATCAGAATGCCATCATTGGTCTACACCCGGACGTCCCCAACATGTACCTCGTCAATGGGTTCAGTGGCCACGGTCTGCAGCAGTCTCCCGCCGCTGGTCGTGCGATCTCTGAGCTGATCGTCCACGGAAAGTTCCAGACGATTGATTGCTCGCGCTTCAGCTATGACCGCATCCGGGCCAACGAGCCATTCCTAGAGCAGGGAATTGTGTAGAAGTGTTCATTCTGTCGCAATAACGATGACGTTTTCATGTGCAGTCGTTGCTGCGTATCAAGCATGTCCATGTCGCTGAATGCGTGGTGACGCTATTGACGTGCTTGCTTCCCGTGGATCTGACCAGGCAATACTTTGAACATCGTCACTGAGCCCCTGCACTTCTGTAAGGCGTGTGTTCACCGCGTAAATAACCTCTTCGTACCCTACCATCCCCTCTTTCCACAGCCTTGCCCATTCCTCCGCGCAATGCTTTTCATTTTCCCTGCGCAAAAGAAGTTGTGCCTCGTATTCGCGAATCGACCGTTTATACTGAGCTTCTGACGCCTCGTGCTTATGACGCAGACTGGCAAACTTTGTTCTAAGGGTCCGCAACTCCTCATTCCTTTCGTCCAAAGCTTCCTGGGCTGTCCGAGCTATTAACATCGCCGCGTCTCGCTCCTTCACAGCTACCGCTTCGCGTTGCGCGTGCAGTTTACACGCATTTCTCACTCTCTGCAACTCCCACGCAAAGTGACGCTGCTCGTTCTCCACGCTTTGCTCCTTCTCTTGCCACACCATCTGCTCTCCTTCCTCGGGCTCAGTGGTTATCAACTGATGCTCTCGTACCGTCCGCTCCATACCTTTCGGTAGCTGCTGAGCCTTCTTCAGCTCCAGCTCGAGGGCTTCCACTTGCACCTCATGTTCTCGTACAATTTGCTGCCACAGCTCACGCACGCGTCTCGCGTCTCTCCCCGTGCGCTGCACGAGCTCTGTCCGGTCGTCCTTGAGCCTTTGAACCTCTGCTGAAGCCAATGTGGCTTCAGTAGTTGCAACCTCTTTCTTCGCGAGCTCCTCTTTCCACTTTCGCTCGATCCTCTCGAGTTCCACTGCCAGCGTCGCGTTCTTTTGTGTCGCGACGTTCCTGCCCAGAACGGCCATTTCGTGCATTGCCACCTCGTTCTCCAGCTCGTTCTCCAGTTCCCGTTGTCGGTCCAGTGCCTGCTGAGTCGCGACAGCGCTGCGTTGCTGCATGTGCTGCACTGCCTGTTCGCGCGCTCGCAGCTCGTTCTCCAGAGTCGATTTTGCGGCTCGTTCTTCGGCCAGAAGACGCGTCAATTGCTCCACTTTTTCATGGAGCGCACTGCACTTGTCTTGTACTGTTTGTGTGGGTTCTCGCGGACTCTCGGAAGACAGAGGGGGCGACGGAGGTGCAGTCGGTGCGATCATTTATAACTTATTGGCGCGAAAATTTGAATGTTAAATCTCACAGGCGGGGAACACTCGGGGCAGTCGCGAGATGGCTATTATTCATAATTTGTAGAGGTCTATTTTGTAGATGGAGCGCAAAGGGTGTTGGAATACAGTGCACTTGAACCAAAACGCCTGTCGGTCCTTTGTACCGTGTAGCCCTGCGACACGGCGCTTGTTTGTGCTTCTGTTTGGTGACTATCGTTGACAGGTGATGACTATCGTTTATTCACGAGCCACTTTTATAGCGGTAGGCGTAACGTGCTTGACGATGGCGGACGTGTGCTCAAAGTGGCATCAGATCAATGAGCAGGTTTGAAACACTGACGATACGCTCGAGTTCGTAGTGTCAAACGACTCGAATGGCAAAGGTTAGGTAAGTCCGAGAGCCGATGCCATCAGGCCCGAATGGTAGCCTACACCCATGACCCAGAACGCGCAGCTGAAGCGAATTCGAAGTGCCACCGTACATGGTCATGTGCTGATCAAACGACATGTCGTTCACAATGATAAGCTGCACAAAGAGACCGGTATATCATCCATTCAGAAGAGTGCCTTCGTCGTAGCTTTCAGCAACCAGCACAAAGCGATTATCAAGATACAACATTAGTCCAGCAAAGCGGTAAGACAGACAGGGCTTCCGGTGGAAGTTCCTGTAAAAAAGGTTGCAGGGCTGCTGTTGAGAAGCTAGCTGGAAGCAGCCGCGTACGATACATGCCTGATTCAGCAATCAGTAGCTTAGGCCAAGTGCAAGGTATATACACGGGCATCTTGACCAGCACGAAACACGCCAGGCGATGCAACACGATGACTGAAGCACAGAGGAAGCTTGCACCACACCAAGCGAAGTAGCGGCAAGCTACACCAGTGCGAGGATCTAGTTTGTTCGAGACAGCAAATTTTACTACAATTGATGAGGACGCGACAACGACAGAAGCACCCATTATCGATAAGCACCGATATTTTTGCTGCCTTCGTTTTTGTTTCACTCGAATCGTAGGTGTGTCCGGCAACCTTGAGCTTGACTGATGCCTCAAGTCGCTTTCTTCCTGTTCACTTCTAAAAATGAACGTACAACTGGCCAGAAAAACGAAGACCAAACATCAACACAAATCTCTTTATTCATTCGAACCAGACGCATGTCTAGATGCGCAAATCTATTATGCTACGTCTTGCTTAGCGTCAACTCCGAACGCGCGCTCGCGAAAATGAACGCTTGTTTAATGGTGCACGTCACACCTGCACTGATATTAGTGCAGATATTTTCAATGATAACTGCACAAGGGGTCTTTGTGTAAGTAACCTACACTGATGACAATGTAAGCTGCTGCACCTGACATTTTGCGTACATCAGTGGCAGGAAGCGTTCAATTGTACAGGTCTGATTGATTGGAAGGGAAAAGGAAGAAGCAAACTGTATTTGACGCAGTATATCGTACGATATTTTTTTCTTTTGCTTCGGTCAACTACGATATAACCTGTCTAATATAGTACCAGCTAAAATCTTAGCCCCCACACAGTGATAATCTACTATTGTTCCAACGTCCGGGCACAACTCGAGCTAAGTAACCCCCGCTATCTGATCGTTAAATGCAATGCAAGGCCCCATTTTTAGAATTTCCATGCAGTTTCGATCAAAGTGAAATCCATATGCTGTAAAAATGATTTAAAGCAGTACCTGGAGACGTCTGAAGAAGCTCTTACAGCAGGTTGTCTCATTTGAGTAACGGGGCAGACCGTTACATGGAATTGTCATTTTAAGGAAACAATGACAATAAAGAATATTATGTTGAATATTCTTTGAACAAAATCATCAAAGTGGTGATATTGAAGGGTCGACCAAAGAGTCTGTTCATTGGTTGATATCTTAA